GGGGGGTGGATATTTCTTCCTAGTGTGTGTACTGAGTAAGATATATAAAAATAATGAGAAAAATCTTTGTTTCAAACTTGCTGTCATGGCGGTTGCCAGGCCTGTACACTCTATATAAGATGTTCAGGACACAAACAGTCCAGGTTCAAATGACCTTTGAGGGGCTGTTTTTTGGAGGGGTGGATATTTCTTCCTTGTGTGTGTACTGAGTAAGATATATAGAAATCTGATGCTCCAGACTTGATGTCCAGGTGGTTCCTTGAATTCAGACCCTGAACCAGGCCTGGACTCTCTACAGTGTCCAATATATTGCAAGATGTTCAGGACACAAACACTCCAGGTTCAAATGACCTTTGAGGGGCTGGAGGTTAAAGAGGTTTAGCTCCCCAAACTTTAAAACAAGTAAATCCTGACTGAATCACAATTTTAAACACAAAAAGCAACAACATGAGCTGTTTAGCAATAAAGTTTATCTGCCTGATAATATTTATTATTCCCACAGTCTAAATGTACTCTTTATAGAAGCACAACCTGCCTGTACTGTGTTTGTATGAACATCCTATTAACACAGAGGAAAGAGGGAAACAGAAGAAGAAAAGGTGATTTTATAATATTTCTTCCTGCTGACCCATCAGCCTGGTTGACATGTGAAGAGAAGCAGCCATTTCTCAGACAAGAGAGAGGCCTACAGGCCCCAGAGGAGCCCCTGTACCAGAGTCACACTGCTGCCTCTCACAAGAGGCTGTGTGTCTGTGAAACTGCAGGGGAAGAGTACTCTGATTATACCATCCTTTAACAGTGTTTCTCCTTAGGATTTGAATGGCTTGTTATTATGAGACTGGCTCTGCTCCTGATTCCTCCTATATTCCACAGTTATTCCCAAATCCAGGGTCACTGGCTCTGCCACATTCAGCCTGTAGACCCTCAGTCAGGAGTGAGCAGAGACCAGAGCACATGGCCTTCAGGGAAAATGAGTTTTCTACACTGTCAGTCTCTCCAGGAGAGACTCATACTGGCCATTAGACTGAAATACATGTGACAGTGTGGGACAGAAGTACCGTGTGAGTATGAGGTGAGCAGGGACCACAAATAACACAAACACAAATAGAAAGTCAACAAAAAGTCGTAAAGAAAGTATACCGCTGTACTGCGTTACCTCCAGACTGGGCTGACCCTATTTAGAGGGGTCCAGTCTGGTAGAGCCGAGCGTGTAAGAAAAAAACAAAACAACAACTTTGTGTATGAAAAAAGGTGTGTGTGTGTGTGTCTCTTCCCCAGTGAAAATACACAATAAGACAGGCAAAAAAAAAGTAAAAGAACACCTTATGCGGGTGCAATCCCCTCTGGGAGTGGCGGTGTAAACTCCCCCTTCCGGGGTGTCCCTGTTCGTCCCATTGGGGGGTGTCCAGTGTGCCTTTATAGGACCCAACCAGCTAGGTCTCATCAGCTGGAAGCCAGGACAGCTGGACTACCAGAGCTCCGCCTCCACACTGGGTCAGGGCTCCGCCTCCAATCTGGATACGCCCCATCGTAATGCCGCATACAGGATAGAGACAGAAACTCCCCCCATGAAACTTTGATTGACCTTCACAGCTCACTGAGATTACTTGTAGGATGTTACAGAAACATGAGATTGAAATATATCTCTTTCTGTTTACACACCAGGAATGATCATCTCACTCTAAAGAGACCTTCTGGACTCAAGACCCCAATAACCGCAGACACTAGGGTTTAAAACAGCATCTCTGTCATCAAGAAGAGACAGACCTACCTGCAGCACTGCACAGCCACTGCCATTCTGAAACAGAGATACAGACACTGTTAATCACAGTCACACACTGGAACGCAGAGATACAGACACTGTTAATCACAGTCACACACTGAAACACAAAGATACAGACACTGTTAATCACAGTCACAGGCTGGAGCTCAGAGATACAGACACTGTTAATCACAGTCACACACTGGAACTCAGAGATACAGACACTGCTAATCAAAGTCACACACTGGAACATAGAGATACAGACACTGTTAATCACAGTTGTTCACTGGTAATAAGACTTTAGTAAAGTCAGTACTGTCAGTCAGCAGAGTTTCACACAGTGTACATACGTGATTTCGGGATAGGAGCTCGCTTCACAGGATCTGCAGAGAGAGAGTTGATTTTTATTGTATTAAAGTTCATTATTGCTTCTTACCTGTTATTATAGCAGAGTTTATACTACAGTCTGCAGTCAGTTCATTTCAGGATCCCCAGTCTCCACTGCAGTGTGGATCAGAGTGTCAGTGAGTGTGAGAAGCAGTGGCCATAAGACTGGAGTCTCACTCAATAAGACTGAGCAGCACAAGGCAATAAGACACACAGACACATCACAGGACACCCTGGAGTCTGGTGCTTGATCCATTGAGAGAGATAAGAAATAAACAGAGTCTATCCACAGCAGTGAGCAGTGATTTCATAAAGAACCAGCAGTGATACTGAGAACTGATCGTTGCTCAGTTATCATTGTCCTGTACCCACAGTGACCAGTATCACTGACTGAGAGACCTGTACCCACAGTGACCAGAATCACTGACTAAGTAACCTGTACCCTCAGTGACCAGTAACACTGACTGAGAGACCTGTACCCACAGTGACCAGAATCACTGACTAAGTAACCTGTACCCACAGTGACCAGTATCACTGACTGAGTGACCTGTACCCAAAGTGAGCAGTAACACTGACTGAGATACAGGGATGTCCTGCTCACTGGTCACACTTCCTGATCTCTGGACATCAGCTGGACAGCGAGAGGTGTCAATGATCCTGTCCAAGCTACTGGCCAGCAGACTGAGGACCGTCCTGCCCCACATCATCAACAGCGACCAGAAGTGTGGGGTGGGACAGCGATCCGTCAGCTTGAACCTCCAGCTCACGAAGCATAATGGAGCCATATAGGATGAAGCTATTTAACAAGGTAGCCAGGTGGGGTTTCTCCACGGTAAAAGTGCACTGGACAGGACAGAGGGCTCTGTACAGGGGATGAAAAAAACCCAGAAAAACTGTTTCTTAGTGCTCCTGTTGAGAAATGGACAATCGCAGTTTCAGAGCCAGGACTGCAGCCAGTGGTAAAACCCAGAAAGCTTGGAGGGGCTCTTATTGTGTGAACCAGCCTCACCGTGATTGTGTGGACAATCACTCACTTTGAGACGATTTGAATTCTGTTGAAGTGTTGTTGTTAGAATTGTATTGTCTGTATGCATCTGTGTGTTTCTTACACAGTGTGTCTCTGATCCACACAGAGTGACTGTCTGCAAGCTTGACTTTCTGAATTCAGACGTGTATCAGCATGTATCAGAGTGTGAATCAGTGTGTGTCAGAGTGTGTATCAGTTTATGTATCACTTTTCCTGCTGTGTGTTTGAGCTCCAGGTATATTTCAGAGGGGAACTGTTGTGAAAACAGACTCACAGTGTAAAAGCTCTGCTCTGGACCCGGGCTCTGGAGTCAGCAGACTGTAGACTTCAGTCACTGGGGAGACACACAGAGAAATGTCTCATCAGGGCTGCAGTAACAGAGTAATAGGAATAACAGAGCTGTTCTACTGTACGAGGAGTGTAGCTCCTAATGTAACAGGATTGATCTACTGTACTGAGACTGCAGCCCCTATTATAACAGGACTGAATCTACTGTATTGGGACTGTAGCTCCTATTGTAACAAGACTGTTCTACTATACTGGGACTATAGCTGTTATTGTAACAGGTATGTTGTACTGTACTGAGACTGTAGCCCCTATGTTAACAGGACTGTTCTACTATCCTGGGACTGTCACTCCTATTAAAACATTCCTGTTAAACTACATACAGCACAATATTACAATACAGTTACTGTCATAAAGATTTGTGAGACTAGAGCTTTTAAGATGTTTCTCCTAGAATTTGAACCATTGACTGATAAGCTGCCCTGATAAATACAGTCACTGAACAGAAAATCCATTAACAATACAAGAGAAAAACAGGAAATATACAGTATAAGATATCCAGAAAGATATCAGTGTGTTTCTCCTCTTACCTGTCGTGGAAATCTTTAATGATTCCTTCTTGCAGAGATCCTCCAGTCGCTCTTTCAGTCCAGAGACAACTCTCCTCACTGCCTCAAGAGAGAAGTGTGGATGGACAGGGATGCTGGGTGCGTCTCCAGCTCCAGGAGGAACACAGACAGACTGGACATTCTGCAGCAGGGAAGAGAAAGAGGAGTTTCCAGTCAAACACAGCACACATTCCTGGGGAGAAGCCAGGAGCAGCTCTGTGTGAGAGACACCCTTCTGTACTGCAGAGTCACAGAGCAGTGATGTTACCTGGAGGAAATGGATGTGAT